TGATAAGATGGTAACGTACCGAGAGGACGTTGCCTTCAAGTTCAACATGCTACAGGGTGGCATTCGGTTAAGTAAACCATCAAAACACTTTTTTCAATTTTTTGAGCCATTCAAAACACACAGATGATGAAAATCTGGCATTTTTTGGCGGTTGCAGAATCATTGCAGACGTAAGGAAACAAATACAAAAAAAGCCCACGGCTTCAAGCCGGGTTTTCGGGCAGGTCATCGCATTAAAAATACTGAACAAGTCATTCTTCGTCATCGAAACGTTTGAACACCAAAAGTTGTGATCACCTTTCAACAGCCATTAGCAACAGCGATAAAATTGAAACAAAACCCAATCCTTGTTTGAATAAATCAAGTCGATAAAAATGTGCGAAGAATGCAACTTGACGACGCCATCTCGTCGGTTCCTAAAAGGGTCGAACAATCATCGAGGGAACAAAAGGGTTCCTCTAACTACACATGTTTTGGTTCATTCACGTTCATAGTTAAAGCGTCGGCTCGTCCATGATCGATCATAATATGGGCGTTTTTCAGACCCATTGAACAATGTGGTCGCACCATGTGATACTACTGAAAATCCGGAATAATTCCGGCAATTCGTGTTAAAGACAAAGTCAAACAAAGTTGTACCTTGACTGCAAGCAGAGCTGAAGTATTTCCATTCAATCTCTGTAATTATTTGCAGACCAGCTAGAGCTAACATCCGGTACATTCGGTGCAAGGTTCGAACATTATACGCTTGAACATTCCACAGAAGTTCATTGTTTAGTACCATCGGGCTGTGCTGCCAGATTGTCGTGGTTCGCTCAACAGTTGCGTCCAAAGTTTCCAGCCATTAATTGAAGGCAGGCATTGGTTTAGGAGGTGACGGATTTTTCGAAGAGTTATTGGTCCAAAGTAAAAAAGCAGGTTTTATTGAAGTGAGAAAAGCGTGCTTTGCCCCGTTTTTATGAGGCAAAAGTGTGATTTCTACCTGTATGGTAATGGGGGTGTTTTTCAAATGAAAGCACCTGCTTTGTGTTTCAATTTTGAATTCTGCATATAATTTTAAGTGTGATTCGGCCACTTGCGGCTTAATGATATCGAAGGCATCAATGAAATTTTTGGGCGTTTTCTGAGTTGGGAAACGCACTGTTTTTTGAGTGTTTGGCCTGCCATCAAATGCTTCCGATTTGAGGTAACCGCACGAAAATAAATCTGTCGGAATAAATATGTCTGGCAATTTGGGAGGCCATCCAATAGGTGTTCTTCTACTCACCCATTGGGAAAGGATTAATTTAAATAAGAGTCAACTACTTAACTATGATAGTAGAGACTTCCACGCCAAAATGAGTACAGAAACTAAATCACACAGGAATGAGAGAGGAAAAGTCTTGTGAATTATTTAGAAGAAAAACAACCACAGTTCGGACTAGCTTTGCAACAGGCAGCGATTATAGGAAGAGAAGAACAAAAGTGGTAATAAACAGCAAGTTCCAAGTGAAACCACGACGAGGAATAAGCAAATAGATACGAATAAACTACTGATGTAAAATAAGAGGAGAATCAAAGAGGACCTGGACGAAAATCTAAACAAAACCAACAAGACATCAATGAAATAGATGACGGACTAGAAAGAGGACATAAAGTAGCACAAAAAATGTGATTAAGATAGAATCAGAAAAAGTGGAAGGTGGAAAAAAGGAAGAGAAACGAAAGATACAAGACGCAAAAGTGGAGGAAATCATTGCATAGAATCCGAACATGAAAGGTCTAAAGCCCTCACTGGGTGGTGTAGAAATTCAATTAGAAATTACTAAGAAATAAGAAATTATGTATACAGTTTTATACGAAACAACACTAGAACCACCGGAAGATATTCAGAATTAATTGAAAATAAACTTTCAAAATTTAAGCGAAGAAACAACCCGAAATAACAAGACTAGAGATTGAAAAAGCAGTGAAAGAAATGCAGGTAGCGACTGACAAACAGTTGCGATGTTGCCTAGTGGAGGAAAGAGAATTGTCCAAGAACTTTGTGCTGCCTGATCAAATGCTAAGAGGAAAAATAATTCCTGGTAGCTGGAACGAAGCTCTAGCCAGATTACTAAAGAAAAGAACTAAACACCGAGTCAACAAAAATAGGTCTAAATGTGAAGTTTCAAAAACCAAAATCCTGACGAATTCCGCTAAAGGAAACGCTAAGGTCAGAATAGAGGAAAAACAATAGAGTAAGAGACAGAATAGATAGAGAAGTTAGGAAATTTTAAAGAGCCAAAAATGCCTCCAACATCTGAAGAGCCGGAAGAGGAAGACCACAGACGCCATGTTCGGACGATTGGAGGAAACCGTGGAGCAGAACGTCTAGATTTACGCAAATCGTTTTCATGCTCAAACTTTTTTGTTGTGTGAGTTTAGCTTCTAATCTAGTCACCACCTTCTGTTAAACCTGAAGACGATCACGGTGGATTTCATTAAATAAATTAGCTGCTTCTATTTGGGCACACGTTCTCACCAAACCCAGCAATGCAGAAAATTTAGATTTTTCTCGGTCCATTGAGTTGACCATTTTGAAAACCGGAAAAGTTAAAATTACGTCAGCAATAAACGTAATTACGCCAAGGAATGTATCTCTTGTTAACGCATTGTTCTTGCATCTTGTTCTTGGAGTAAAATTTTTATGTCTAGTGAATTCCTCCGGCTGAAGCGTGCACTGCACTGTACTCTAACTTCTTTCACAGTTAAAACATTTGGGGTTTATGGTCGGTCCATGTAAGTCTCCTATCCAGATGGATTCCGATTTACTTCATATTTTCGGCCTGTGGTCGTTGGAGATTCTTCAGCTTTCCTGCACGACATGATTGCTTTCTCTTAGCAAACGTTTTGTGTTTGTACTTTTCCAGTTTTTGAACCAACTTTGGATGGTCTCCAAATTTTCCTGGAAATTTCTGGATGTCCTCCTCAGCCTGGTATGAGTTGACAAAATTACCGTGTCATCTGCAAATGTGGCTAACAGAACGGCCTCTAGCAGAGGCAACTTTGAGTACTCGTTATCATGTTTTACTACAAAGCGTCTCTTGGAGGCAAGATTGAAGTAAAAGTTCTTATTCTCGAATGCTTCGTTTATTTCGTTTTGTGTATAATCCTACGTTTTTGCTCTGTAGTACCAGACTTTGACGAAGAAGAATAATTTTGCTATCATTCAACCCAGTTTTTAATGTTTTTAGCCATCGAATCCATTGCCCGTGTGCAACATGACGGTTCTTCTAACTTTTTCCTGTTTTACCAACCATGATTCCCATTTCCAGCTGCTTGGGAGCATAGAATTAAACATGTAGGCAACTTTTTGCAAAAAGATCGCATCCTGATGCTCTTCTAATATTCCTTTCAGTTCGAATTCTTTTGATTTAATTTTAGGAGCGAATTGTGTAGAAATTCTTGGCATTCCAACGTGCGGTCACACAGCCGGCGGTTCTTCGGCAACACCGATCGTACCTTCCTCGGTGCTCGTGCACCCAGCAACCAACGCCGTTCCCAACAATTTCGGCCCATTTTCAGAAGGAATTCCAAAAAAGGCAGCGAATCGTTCGCCGGTTTACACGCTGGGTTGGATTCCGAGAATTGACTGGCTAATCTGCCGCTTTTCCCATCATTTTGGTCCTATCGGGCGACTGCATTTCTGACCTGTGTCATAGACGTGAGAAAATTCCATTTTTGGAGCTGGTTTGAATTTGGGGGCGCCAAAATCCTCCTAAATCTAACGAAAGTCGGTAATCTGATTCTAAAGCTTCCATCGTTGACAAGTGTGGGAGATTGCAAAATTCCCAAGCTATCAGTAACTTTTCTCAGATCTTCAGAGGCTTTGAAAAGCCATATGAAGTGCTCTTCTTCCGAATCTGCAGCAAAACTAGTAATCTGCAGCAAAACTAGTTAAATTCGTCTGCTTTTCGCATTCAATTCGGATCTAGAGACCTCAACTTTTCATTCTTCATTCCTATCTAGACATTTTTCTTTTGGTTTTTGCTACTCACTTGCGTCACTCGTTTTCTCTGAATGATTACATGCAATTATAAAATACAACCTTGATAAACCGGGTGATCAAACAATGGAAAATCTGGAGATGCTACAGGTCAAAAGTTGAAATTTGCAGAAATACTGGGTGCGAAAAGTCGCGATTTTAATACGTTTTTTGCCATTCTGAAAATATCTGGGATAGGAGCATGAAATTTTCTCATTTTGGGTTTGCTTGGCTGCACGTTTTCTACCCAGAAAACAACACACTTTGAAACTGACGAAAACTGATTTATTTTCCAAATTTTTTTATTACATTCTGCAAATTTAACCTCACTTTTGCAGATTCACTTAATTTTCAAACCATGTTTGTCGACTGCTCTTGAAAATGGCGATTTGCCAATTTCTAGACTTGAATTTTTAGTTTTTTCTTTTTTCAGTTAAAATTAACCACTTTCAGAGAAAAAATCCTGGATGACCCACCAATTAGGAAAAAAACACTTACAAACTTTTGAAAATCGCTTATTTATGCACGAAAGTGAGATTATCCGATGCTGTTTGCGGCTAAATCCTGTTTCAGGTATCAACAATCATAACTCCACATGCAAAATTGTCGCTAATATGTATAATAATTGTGTTTTTTGCAAACATCGCCCATTGATTGAGGTTATCTAGCGCGTCAGTAGACAACTGGCGGTTTATTTATCACTTTCAAACACAATGCGGTGATGTTTGACAACATCGATGTTCTGATACTTTGCAGTTGCATACAAATTTCAAATTGATTAACTTCAACTTCAATAATTTTATTTTACTATTACTATGACATTAAATAATCGACTAATTTTATTCAACTTATAGTTGGCACTTTTTCGGTCAACTGACTGCAAAAAGAGGCTTTTTTCAGGTGCAGCTGGAAATGGGTCGCTATGCCGCGGTATCGCTTGTATCGGCACTGTCAAAGAGTTCGCAGAAAATGTGTCTATCTAGTATCAACATCAAATGTCCGATGTTTTCATTTCAGGATCTAACATCGATGTTTCATCGAAGTCCCAAATTTCCAACATGGATGGTAAAACTATCGAACATCGAACGAATTACATCGATATTTGCGAAACATCGATGTTTTTCTCCCATCTCATTTCAAACCTACCAAAATTGAATGTATCGACACTCTAGTTATCCAAAGACTTTTCATGAACTTAAAACGTTTTGCGCGGTTTGGCAACGCCGCTCGAAATTTAGCCTAAAAATGGTGATTTTCCTTAAACTTTTGTGAGTGTTTGTGGTTTAATTTATGGAGGATCCAGGTTTTGTTTTTGCTGAAACTGCTTTATTTGAAGTGTTCTATAAAGGAAAACAAGAAAAACGCAGACTTAAAGAACGACCACCGCGAATTAATAACGAAACTGTAGAAACTGATTTATTTTCAAAATTTGTTACATTCTGCAAAATTAACATCACTTTTGCAGCTTTAAATTATTTACAAGCCATGTTGTCGACTGCGCCTGAAAAAGTCGATTTGGTATTTTATGGAGTTCAATAAAATGTCTACACTTACATCAAGCAATACTAATGACGAATGTTTAATATTCGCCTTTCAAGTCACCGGGAACAAACAAATAAGCTGGCAACCACGCCATATGAAGCAAATATTTTGCACCAAGCAAATAAAACATCGATGTTAGATCCTGAAATGAAAACATCGAACATTTGATGTTGATACTAGATAGAAACATTTTCTGCGGACTCTTTGATAGTGCCGATACATACGATATAGCCGCTTAACGGCCCATTTCCAGCTGTACCCGAAAAAAGCTTCTTTTTGCAGTCAGGTGACCGAAAAATGTGGCATCTATAAATTTAATAAATTTAGTCGATTATTTAGTGTTATAGTAGTAGTAAAATAACATTAGTTAAGTATAAGTTAATCAATTTGAAATTTGTATGCAACGGCAAACTATCAGAACATCGATATTGTTCGATCGATGTTCTGCCTTCGATGTTTCCCTAACATCGATACTACTTTTCGACGTCAACATCGATGTCTACCATCGATGTTATAGGATCCCATCCCTAGACTGACTTAAAAAAGCTAGCGACTTATTGAATTGTCAAAAAATACAACGGTGAGCTTCGGAAAGTCGCCACTATGGGACTGTGGAGTGCCGATGTCTAAGTAGAAAATGTTTCGTACATTTTGACCTTTTTTTCATATATCTCATGTGAAGAAACAAGTTTGGGCCAACATCCAAATTTGATCGTGGTGAGTTTCATAGAAAATCAGAGGCAAAATTCAATTACTTTGATATAAGGAGCCTACCTACTCGATTTATCACTAGATCACTTGTTTGTTAATTTTATCAATGATTTGTATCGCAATTCTCAATAAACAAATTGCAACTTCTTCTTCATTTTCTTCCCTCTAGTGTTTTCCCCAACATTTTGGCTGTTTGTCTTCAACCATTCTGTTTGCAGTGTGCATATCTAAAGTATCTCCAATGAAGTTTTGAGGAGCACAATTTGGAAACTAACCACACATGTTCTGAAACCCTTATATTTGAACAGTGAAAAAAAATTAAACTGAACATTCCATCTTCAATACCATATAGTTCCCAAGCTCTCGAAGTAAAGCAAGTTGTAACCGCCCTGTGGATAATGCAAAAAATTAGAAAACGCCCTCAAATATGTAAACTTTGCCCAGTTCCAAGCTTCTTGTTGAAGATGGATTACGAATAACACTAAAGTGGGGCTTAAGATAATCGGGCGGCTCAATATCACTCTCAAAGTCAGAGATATATTCTACCAAGTGAGTGACTGACTACTACCTTCCATCGTCCAGCAGATGATTCCATCTACTTCAGACCTCCTACCGATATCCCGGAAGTGCGAGTTTAAAAGCGACATCTGGATAACACCCAAGTCGATAATGTAAAGACATGTGCACGGAATGTTTTCGCAACTTCCATTGTAACACCGGCAAGTTTTGAACTACCACTTGGGTGCAGATAACGATTAGAAACACTTCCGAATCGGAATGTGCATTATTCAAGGATTAAAGATCCTTTCCGGAGAGATTGTATTGAAATAATCGTGCTTTGTAATAACTGATATTTTTTTTATACACAAGGTGTGACAATCACAATAGGGCCCTGACAGAGTGTTTTCATTTTGATGTGCAAAAATCAGTTTTTCTTTTATAATTTCAAAATTCTTGTCAAAAACTGTGGATTTAAACATTTAATCAACAGTGATTTAAACCCGTAATCGTGCCCGATTTAAACGCGAACTCGAGAACGATTTAAACCCAAACTCGCGCTCGATTTGCAATTTGCGAACTGAACTCACCCGCGAATAAAACCCAAACTTCTGTGCGAATTTAATCCAAATGCACGCTTGATATATACCTAGAATCCTGTGCGATTTAAGCCCGTGCTTGAGCGCAATTTTAACTCCAACTAGTGCGCGATTTAAACGCTAAGTCGATGGCGATTTAAACTCAACTTTCTGCGCGTTTTCAACCCAATCTAGCCCCCGATTAGAACCTGGACTCGCGCGCGATTGAAATCCGAATTCAAGCACGATTTAAATCCAAACTGGTGTGCGTTTTAAAACGGAACTCGGGAGCAACTTAAACTTTTCAGCCAAAATTTGTGAGCGATTTCAATCTAAGCGCAACCGTGATTGATACCAATAATTGCCGGCGAATTAAACCCATACTTACCTACTACAAACCCAGCAGTCTGAAACCGAACTCGCAAGCCGATTTAAACTCAATCTTGCGCGTATCTTAAAACCAAAGCACACGATTAGAACATGGACTCGACTGAGATTTAAATCCGAGCTCGAGCACGATTTAAATCTGAATTTGCACGCAATTTAAACTTGGAATTGCGGGTGTTTTTCAAGCAATTTAAATCTAAATGCACGCGTAATTTAAACCTAGTATTGCATGCGACTAAAACCCCTTCTTGTGCTCAATTAAAACCCCTACTTGCGCTCAATTTAAAGCCGAACACTTGCGCGATTTAAACTGGAACGCAAGAGTAATTTAAACTCAACCTTGCGAGCGTCTTAAAACTTATCAAGCACACGATTAGAATCTGCACCGGCGCGGTTTAAATCCGAGCTCGAGCACAATTTAAACCCAAATTTGCCTGCGTTTTAAAACAGAACTCCGGTGCGATTTAAACTGAAAAATGCACACGTTTTGAGCCCAACCTCAATCGAGACAGATACCAAGAATCGCCCAATTTAAACTCGAACTTAAGAGTAGTTTAAATCCGAACTAGCAAGCGATTTAAACCCAATCTTGCTTTCGATTACTTTAGCTACTTGCGATTAGAATATGAAAATGTAAATCAGAATTTGCGATCATTTTAAAACAGAACTCGCGCAGTTAAAACGCACCCGAACCCGAATTTAAACCCAAACTTGTGCATGATTTAACACCGAACCGAGCAATTTATATCTAAATGCAGGCGTCTTTTACACCTGGTATAGCGTACGACTAAAACCCGTACTGGCGCGCGATTTAAACTCGAACCCAAGAGTAGTTTAAACCCGAACTCGCAAGCGATTTAAACTCAACCATGCGAGCGTCTTAAAACCAATCTACCACACGATTAGCATCTGGACTCGATCCGATCCGATATCAAGCACGACTTAAATCCGAATTTGCGCGCGTTTCAAAACAGAACTCGCGCTTGGTTACAACCCGAAGTTGGGCCCAGTTAAATCTAATTTTGAGCTCCAATTACAACCTGAACTTGCGCACGATGTAAACGCGAAATTGCGCGAGGTTTCAACCCAAATTTGCGACCGATTTAAATCTAAACTCATTGGAATCCGAATTGAAACCCGAACGCGTGCTAGACTTGATCCCGAACTCGAGAATGGTCTAAAACCTAACTCGTTACCGATTTAGACTTAAGTTTGCACGCATTTTAAAGCTGGCACAGAGATAGAACCTCGATTCGCGTGCAATTTAAATTCGATCTCGAGCACGATTTAAATCTGAATTTAGTCGCGATTTATACTTGAAATTGCGGGTGTTTTGAACCCTAATTTGCGAACAATTTAAATCTAAATGCACGCGTGATTTGTACCTGGTATTGCATGCGAGTAAAACCCGTACTCGCGCGCAACTTAAACCCAAACTCGTTAGCGTTTTAAACTCGAAATCTAGAATAGTTTAAACTCAACCATGTGAGCATCTTAAAACCAATCTAGCACACGATCTCGCGCGCGGTTTAAATCCGATCTCAAGCACGATTTAAATCCGAATTTACGCGTGTTTTAAAACAGAACTCGCGCTCGGTTACAACCCGAAGTAGGGCCCAGTTTAAATCCAATTTTGAGCTCCATTTAAAACTGAACTTGCGCACGATTTAAACTCGAAATTGCGCGCGGTTTCAACCCAAATTTGCGACCGATTTAAATCTAAACGCATCCCAATCTGAATTTCAACCCGAACGCGTAGTAGACTTAAATCCCAACTCGAGAATAGTCTAAAACCGAACTGGTTATCGATTTAGACTTAAGTTTGCACGCATTTTAAAGCTGGCACACGATTACAAACTGAACTCGCGCGCGATTTAAATCCAAGCTCGAGCACGATTTAAATCTGAATTTGCACGAGATTTAAAACAAAACTCGCACGCGATTTAATCTTGAAATTGCGGGTGTTTTGAACCCCAATTGACGAGCAAATCTAAATGCACGCGTGATTTATACTTGGATTCGCGTACGATTAAAACTCGTACTTACGCGCAATTTAAACCCGAACTCGTGCGCAATTTAAACTCAATTTTGCACGCGTCTTAAAGCCATTCCAACATACGATTAGAACCTGGATTCGTTCGTGACTTAAATCCGAGTTCAAGCTCGGTTTAAATTCTTCTCATTCAAATTCTCTACATACAACCTACTATAATAAATGAGGAATCGGGAGACGCTAACTTGGCAGATGATTTAAACCTGAACTCGCGCACAATTTAAACCTGAACTCGTGGACCGTTTAATTCCGAACTCGTGTACGAGTTGCGAAGTGGAACCTTGAAAATAATATAAATATATAAATATTTACACTTTGTCTAAAACAATCGACGTGCTTGCATTGAAACTGCGACTTTACATTATTTTAACTATCAGGATATAATAAACACGAACTTCTGTGCGATTAAAACCTGAATTTGAGCACGATTTAAACCTAGACTCGCGGGAGATTTAAACCCAAACTTTCAGCCAATTGTTTTTGAAATAACTTCAAATTCAAGCAGGAGAAAAATCTAATAACAACTTACTAACAAAATTAACAATTGTTTCCACTACGCTGGCATATTTGCACTTGTCTGACTAAAACAATCGCCTTGTTTGCGTTGCAAATACGACTTTACATTATTACGAATGAAAAAAGTGATAATAATTTGGGACAGTAATAGAAAAAAGTGGCAAGTTTAAGTGAAAAATTGCTAAGCTACTAGAAGAAGTATTGAAAACCGCATAATTTGCCGATAAATTCCACAGTCATCAAACACTTGTTGAGTGCCTGAAAGAAGTGGTTTTTTCTATGCATTTTCCTCCTACGCCATTGGTACCATCGCTTATGAAATACGATAACGTGGCTGCTCCTTCAGGCCCGTTTACTGTTCGAGACTTCGAGTACATTCCCACACTAAGGAGTGAGATCGTGCTGCGCCCGAGGGGAATTCCTTCGTTTCGAGATTTCAATTATGAATCAAACTCGAGTTTTTTTCTTTTTTGGTCGGTTAGACCGCCGCATACCGGAAGGCTCGGATTAAATAAAAATCCAGCTATTCTTAGATTCTGCACCGGCTCCGAAAAATGACCGTGCGACCTTTTGGATTAGTCGGAAAAAATCCATCAATTTGACGAGCGTTTTTCTGGAATGGGGTAGAGATTTAAGAGATTTAAGGAACACCCAAAAGTTGAACTGTTCTTGAGTTAATAACCAATAGTGATTACTTAACGAAATCCCCATTAAAGGGTGTAGACAATACAGCCGGACATTTTATGAAACGGCCTCTGGACGAGTCAATACCGAGATATTTGCAGTTTTTTGGAAACCATATTTTCTCGAAAACTATGAAAGCTGGAAAGTTGAAAAAATACCGGTGGACAGTGCTCGACCGGCCCGAGATTTTATAAGAAATAGCTTTTTCCGACAGAATCTTCGTTTTCTAGAAAAAAAATAGATTGTAAAATTTCGAAAAAATCGCAGGTTTTACCACTAAAATTTGTGGCGAAAAAATTTTTATTTTTTTTTCGAACTGTTTCCTGTCAGGTGGATATACAAAAGTTACAAGACGAATCAAATTTGGTTGGCTCAAAAAAAATCCTCTGTGAGCTACAGGGGGAAGACGAAAAAGCTTGTACAGTTCCTTATGGAAGGGAAATTTTAAAAATTGAACAAAATTGTCAAATGACACTAAAATTGGTGGAAATTGACACAAATATGAATCAACTCCATGTCAAAACTTGACCGAAATTTTACGTAACAAAATTGGGTAAAATTTTGCATGATTTTAGATAATCGTAGCGAACACGTGAATACCAACTTTTTTATGGAGCAACAGACGGCCGATTGACTGGACTGATTAGATTCACTTCAGCTGTTTTGGTTGCCGAGATATTTACAGTGTTTTGAAAACCATATTTTCTCAAATTTCTCGAAAACTATGAAAGCTGGAAAGTAAAAAAATAACCGCCGAGATTTTATAATAAATAACTTTTTCCGACAGGAAGATTTGTTTTCGAAAAAAAAAATGTAAAATTTCGAAAAAATCGCAAAGGCGTTTCACCCATTTTGGCAAAATTTTTTTAATTTTTTTGCCGAACTGTTCCCGGACAGGTGGTTATATATGGAAAAGTTACACGACACCGGTTGGTTCAAGAAAAATTTCTCTGTGAGCTACAGGGGGAAGACGAAAACGCTTGTACAGGTCCTTATGATAGAGAAATTTTCAAAATTGGAAAAATTCCCCAAAAAATTTTCGAAATTTTTCCCCAAAATTTTGCATTATTTTAGAAAATCGTCAATTGCTCTCTTATAATCGGTCGCAGCGAAAACGTGAATACCACCTTTTTTATGAAGCTTCAGACGGCAGATGGACTGGACTGATCAAATTCAGTTCCGCTCTTTTGGTTGCCGAGATATTTTCAGTTTTTTGAAAACTATATTTGCTCAAATTTCTCGAAAACTGTGAAAGTTGGAAAGTTGACAAAATACCAGTGGACAGTCCTCGATGGGTCCGAGATTTTATAAAGAACAGCTTTTTCCGACAGGAAGCTTCGTTTTCTATAAAAAAAATAAAAAGTAAAATTTCGAAAAAATTGAGTTGAAAAAATTTTTGGCGAAAATTTTTTTTTTTTTTTAAGTGTTCCTTGACATGTAGTTAGATATGGAAAACTTACATGCCAAATCAACTTTGGTGGGTTTAAAAAAAAATCCTCTGCGAGCTACAGAGGGAAGACGAAGAAGTTTGTACAGTCCAGTGCAGAATAAAATTGTCAAATTGCATTAGAATTGGTTGAAATTGATACCAATTAGTATTGAAACAAATACAAATCCATCTCAAATTGATTTGATAAATTAGAAGAAAAAAATTCCATTTAACTCCATGTAATCGGTAAATTGTGGTACCGATCAACTCAAATGATTCCTAAATATCCGAAAATGACGATAAATGGATTCTTGTCAGACCAAAAAATAGCTAATAGATGTGGTTAATGATTTTTGAATGTCATAATGAGAAACTGTAAGTTTCCGATTTTTATCAGACCAATCAATCGAAAAAATGTTGGGAAACTTTCGATTTGTCCATTTGAAAAAAGTTAAGTTTGGTCTGTCGCTTGAATTTGAAATACCCTGTATCAATTACTTCTATCTTTAAATAAACTAGACGTTAATATCTACAACTTTTGTATTTAACCTTTTTCCCTAAATTTCAAATTAGAGGTTAAAATAGGGTGGCCAAGGTCCAATCAATAACCCTGTACATAACGTACACGACGACACTATTTTATCAAATAATTCGTTATAAGTCTGCCAAGCCACTTTAAATCATTTAGGATTTGAATTGTTGAAATATTTAAAATTTGTGCAAAATCAGCTTCGTTCTGTTCCGGCAATTTTTCTCGATTTTTGCCTAGCAAAATAGACAAATCCTCTACTTTGTTCTGAAGCAAAATATTGGGAGCGCCAGAAAGCAAAAATTTCTTTAGTATTGTGATTTTCGTTAGTTTTCCTGATAGATTAACATCGACAACCATGCATCCTCAGGCACATGTTTCTTGGCCCATATGTATTTGAGGTTAGCTTTTTGATTGCGTTGTTCAAAACTTAAAAAGTTTACCTTTCTTCAGGAGACTCCACTGCGCGACGTGTCTACTGTTTGGTCAACTGTTTCTGTTGCAATTTGGATTTATTTTCTAATCTTTCTCTACTGCTTACTTCTTCCTCTTAAGCTACAGTTGGAGAACGTAGCTCTTTCTTGACATCTTTTTTTCTAATCGGTTTCTTCAGTTGAAGTTCGTTTCCTCATACTCCCATACGAGCTTGTTATTGAATCGTCAGAATCAAGAAAGAGAAGAGAGAACACTAGAGTACGAACCAAACATGCACGCAATAAGAGAAGGTAATAACAGACGAAACGGACAACAGAAAATGTTGAAGGAAAATTTTCTACACTCAGCTAACTTTTCCACGTCAATTTCTTTCTGAAAATGTAAAGATCAACAAAAGAATATAGCAAAAGTTCGCCTGAATCCATTCATGTTTCCAACCAAATTCCTCTTGATCTGGTTTCTTATCCCATTGAAATGTAATGAAAAAATTGCCACAGAAACCTCAAAAAAAATAGTAAAATACGCATTAAATGTAAAAGCAGTTTCGCACAAGGAAGGAAACTTCTCAAAAAATCTCGGATAAATAAGCACAAAAGGCCAATAAAGGTAATAAAATTATTCTGTGTAAATATAAAACACCATGAACGCCGCATAAGTTTAACAAACTGAAAACGTACAAAGCAAAGTACCGAAAAATAAAATTGAAGAGGTAAATTAAATAGAGCGCACTGATATAGTGGCCTCCAGTATCGCCAGATTTAACCCCAATGGACTTTAATCGTTCCACGCAACCGAACAATAATGAAGTATTTGACTCGGCTAGCCAGCTTTTGGATGCTGATTGAATAGAGCAAAGTTCAATAAATTAAGTGCCTGGACAGTTTTATGGTTCTCTGAGGTCTCGAATTAATATCGTTGAGGGAGTGAAATTGAAACCCCACAGAAAATGTGAACTTTCAGATGTTACGTTGGCCGCCTCGTTAGTTTGATTTGAACCCTGCTGCTTTAGCAAGAAAAAAATGAACAGAAAAACAGTTTTATTGAGGTACTTGTATAGATTCCTGTTATCATTTTTCCCGATAAACTATATGTATCGCAATTATCTCGGTGCTTAAAAGTTTAAGCTCATAACAAATTTGCTGACAAGTTAAATTAATTTTAATCCAGATCAATTTGTTTACCACTATTCGTATAGATAATCTGCAGACAACAAACGAATATTTCGGTGCGTTTTATCAAGCGTTTTTGTTTTGGGAGGAGCTTCTATAGTGCGCCGCTGATTGCGTGCGGAAATTGTGATTTTGGCTGATTTTAAACGAAAAACGCCTCTTCTCAATGCGCCAAGTGGACGCTAAAAATTCCCTTTTCTTGGAAGACCAATTTTGTTGGTAGAAACTTTGAAAGCCAGCCCAACTGCGGCCTCAGCATATTTTGATGCCCGGCTCAAGAGCTCGAAATTGAGATTATGGTTTATTATCGGAATCAGCAGCAGATTAGTAGATATCTATTTTAATCTTCGTCTAAAGTACGTTGTGCATAGAAACCCGATCATCGAAGTAGATTTTGAGATTTTGTACGAGCATGTTTTTCAGATATCTGCAACTATTTATAGAGTGCAAATAAGAACTAGATAAATTAGCTAAAAATATAGCTCAAAAGCCTGTTTGAAGTCGATCTGATGTATCCGATTAGTTGCAGTTTGGTATCATTACATTGTTTGCGTTGATTGATTTAAAAATGAACGAATCCAATCACCGAGTGAAAAATCTCAAGTTTTTAGATGAAGCTCCTTCGACTTTCGACTCGACCATTTTTTATTTTGCCCCTAAGTGAAGGTCAAAAATTGAAAGAAATTCGTGCTTAAAGTCAAAATTTCAATTCTGAAATAGAAGTTTTCAGTTTACAGGCAAAATTTCGAACGTACAGTGGAAAATTGTTCTAACAAAAGTTGATATTCAACAGACAATTAAATTTTGGAGTTTATTGGTTCAATCAATCTACTTCAATATGCGAATTTCCAGGTCCAAAGGGGAGATTCTGAAAACTATTTCACCGAGTTTCCATTTTTGAAACAGAAATTCCAATTTTCCCGTCGTTATTAGTTAGAGTAAAAAATATATAATTTAATTTCCAAGTAAAGGCTTTTGAGTCCTTCGGAGTGATTTTATAAAGCTACATTACAGCATACATTTTCTAGAGAAAAACTAAGATTTTGTCTTAAATTTTAAGCACCTAAAAAATTAAATTAAGATTGAGAATGTTACAAATTCGAATTGTAACTTTTTCACAATTTTTGTTCAGATTTAATCGACTTTTACTTTGATGGAAATTATCGGTCGCAAGATTGTGGAGGAAGATCATAATTTTGCATGGGCCCACGTTTCGGCTATATTTCAGCCATCATCAGTGGCGCCAGTGCGTTTATTGTATTTGATATTAAAATACGCGTAGTCGGTCCTACTGCTTAATTATGTGTATTAATTGACAAAGAAATCAAATAAATGACTAAAAAAAATTAGTATTTAGAAAATAATGCTTAGAAACAAGCTGTATATAAACGAAAATAATAAAATCTCCCAACTGGCTTGAAAATGAGTCAGCTTGAAAATCTCAAAAAAAATATAAAAATGTGCTTCAAAGCCGCAAGAACTCCTTACGACTTTCAGGCCTTTTGTTAGGAGTTGATTGTTTTTCTTTAACTCAAAAAGCT